CCTCCGTGTCCCCCACTGTCCCCTCCCGTGTGTCCCGGTGTCCCCCCGTGCCCCCCCGGTGCCCCCCGCCCCGTGCCGTACCGGGTGTGCTGCCCCCGGAGGGGACACGGACACGGCGGGGGGCAGGATGGGGGTCGTGGAGACAGGGACAGGGACATGGGGACACGGGGGGGACACGGAGGGGACAAGGGCAAGGGCAAGGGCACGAGACAGACACGGAGGGAATGGGAGAGACACGGGACGGGGACCTGTGGACTTGGGGGACACGGGGGAGGACATGAGGGGACACAGGAGAAGGAGTGAAAATATGGGGGGACCCCGTGCAGGGACATGGAGGGAAACAGGGGGACACAGGGGGACAGAGGACAGGGCCGTGAGGGGACACAGGACAGGGAGATGGGGACACGAGGGACGTGGGGCACATGAGGGGACATCAGGGGATATGGGCAGGGACACAAGGACACAGGGGTACAGGGGGAGACACAGGAGTGGGAGAGGGGGACATGGGGGGACACAGAACAGGGAGTGGAGATATGGGGGTACATGGTGCAGGGACATGGAGGGACATAGGGGCACATGGGGGGACATGGAGGGGACGTGAGACAGAGACGTGAGGGGACACAGGAGGACGTGGGGGGAAACGGGGACACAGGACAGGGACATTGGAAGGCACAGGACAGGGACATGGGGACACAGGGTAGCACAGGGGGGCACAGGACAGGGACATTGGAAGGCACAGGACAGGGACATGGGGACACAGGGGAGCACAGGGGGGCACAGGACAGGGACATTGGAAGGCACAGGACGGGGACATGGGAACAAAGGGGGCCGAGTGTGACCAGGACCCGCAGTCCCGCCACATCCGTGTCCCCCCGCCCTGTGCCGGATCCTGGGTGTCCCATGCCATGACCTTCTCCCAGGAAACAGGGAGATGTCACCCTGATGTCACCGTGTTCCCCCCCCAGCTGCCAGCTGGGCCCAATCAGTGTCTCCTCAGCTGGTGGCACTTTTGGGGACTTTCCATAAATTCCAGAGCCTCTCGGCAGTGCCAGAGCTGGGGCCGGTGAGTGACATCGGGGGCGGGGGGACACTGGGAGCGTTCCTGTGGCTGGGGGGTCCCAGCCACAGGGGTGGCCCTGGAATTGTGACAGTGGAGTCACCTGGATTCCATTTTTCCAGGAAAAATGGGATCTGGCACGGCTGGAGTGACCTGTCCGGGCATGGCCAGGGGGGTTGTGGCTGTCACCGTGCTGTGGGTGACGGTGGTGGGGGCAGCCACGGGGTGAGGAACTGGGAATGGGAGTGGGAACTGGGAATGGGTGTGGGAGGTGGGAAAGGGAACTGGGAATGGGAGGTGGGAACTGGGTCTGAGTGACAGGAACTGGGAATGTGGGTTGGGAGCTGGGAATGGGGGGTGGGAACTGGGAATGGGGGACGGGATGGGTGCTGTGGGATGGGATGGATCCCAGGATGGGAGCTGGGAGCCAGGATGTATGTCGGGAGTTGGGATGGGTGCTGGGAGCAGGGATGGGATCTGGATGGATCCCGGGATGGGTGCTTAGATGCAGGCTGGGAGCTGGGGTGGGTGCCAGGAGTGGGGATTGGTGTGGTGAGTGCCAGATGGGTGCTGGGGTGGATCTGGGATGGGTGCTGGGGTGGATCTGGGATGGGTGCCGGGATGGGTGCCGGGATGGGTGCTGGGTCCCGGCTGGATCCCGGCTGGATTCCGCGGGTGCCCGGCAGGCGCTGGTGCGAGCGGACGGTGCAGGTGACGGAGCAGGAGGAGGTGACGCCCCGGCGCGAGGCCGCCGTGCCCTGTCCCAGTTTGTACCAGTACAGCCTGGCCGGGTGGCGGCTGGACCGGGACCGCACGCGCCAGGGACACGGGGACCCCCCGGGGGACACCAAAACCGACCCCCCTGGGGACACCAACACTGACCCACCCGGGGACACCGGCACCGACCCCCCCCTCTGCTACATCTACCGGTGAGCCCGGAGAGACGGGGCACGGGGGGACCCCGGGTGGCACTGAGGTGGCACCGGGTGACACTGGGGTCCCCCCGCAGCCCCCCGGAGACACGGCCGGTGGTCCGGAGCCACACGGAGCGCGGCTGCTGTCCCGGCTGGAGCGGCCCCCGCTGCACCGAGGGTATGGGGACGTGGGGGCGGCACCCAGGGATGTCCCCAGGGTGCCACTGCCACTGCCCCATTCCCACTGGGTGCTGGGATGGGTGCCGGGAGCTGGGATGGGCACTGGGATGGGTGACAGGAGCTGGGATGGGCACTGGGATGGGCACCATTCCCACTGTGCCATTCCCACCAGGTGCTGGCATGGGTTCTGGGAGCGGTGGTGGGTGCCAGGATGGGAGCTCAGATGGGTAATGGAAGCAGGAACGGGATCCAGGATGGGA